TGTGTTGCACATACAGTATAAGCACAATCCTGGTGAATTTTAAATTGAAGTTGTCAGATTTAAATTTTTTCTTAAAGTGTTTTCTCGTTTCATCACAGTCTGTTTCTTGTGTTTCGATCTTGGTGTGGCATTGGTCATTGCACAGATGTGTGTGTGTGTGTGTGTGTGTGTGGGGGGGGGGGGCAAGCCCTTTTGGGCTGTGTTCCACCCTGCTTGATTAGCCATTAGCCAGTGGCTGCCCTCTCTGATTTCCCCCCACAGTATGATAATCCGTCGCCATCACCATCCAAGCCAAAGCCCTGCCAGCAACTGCCAGGCCCAATTCCAGCCCACATTTTAGGTTTAATGACCTAAGGCAGTGGAATTACCCCATCACAGTTTCTCTGTGGGCTGCTGTCTCATGCATGTTCACCATGTCGTCATGCAAATGTTAACTGAGATGAGAGCATGTGTCCAAATCTGCCTCTCTGCGCCGCACTCAAAGGCCTGGTTGTGAAAGCAAACAGAAACTGGACATTGACTGCATTTTTCTTTTTTGTGTGTGTGTGTCTGTGGTTTTTTTTTAAAAACCATCAGCTTTGAATGAGCAACATGATGTTGCGTGTCTAACATAGTCATCTTTCCTCCACTGGAGGCTTTCTGTGTAGAGTTTACATTTTGTCGCCACGTACTCCAGCTTCCTAGGACATGCATGTTAGGTTAAGTGGTGATTCTAAATTGACCCTAATTGGTGTGAATCTGAGTGAATCTGATTGTGACTTGTTCTCTCTCTCTCTGTCTTTTTTCCCTGTGTTAGACTAACAACCTGTCCAAACTGTACCTCTCTTCTCGCCCATGTAACAGCTAAGATAGGGTCCAGCCGTCCCGCAGCCCTGAATTAGCCAAACGTTGGATGGCTGCCTTGAAGGACTGTTGTCATGATCTAAAATTCATGTTTGGCTTTTCTTACGACTCTGTCGCAGGATCACAGGATCACTCCACAGATTTTACACTTCAAGTTCAGCTTACTTGTGAGGAGGCCTGCAGAGACATTTTTTTGTAGCTTTATACGTTTGTCTGAGAAAGTCTGAGAAATAGAACTCTCAGTGATACAATCAAGATTATCACTGTTTAAGCTTGGACACCATACATTTAAAACAGGAATGCTGCTCACTGATGAAAAAGCTGCTGCTTATAAATAAAATTCAAGGGTTTTTGTGGCTTGAACCATAAGTAGAACTAAAAGTTGATCTGTCATGAAATCTGATGGAAACTACTCTGTTGAATTGATTTTCTGATTGTCTGGTCTATAAATAAATCTTCTTATGAATCTTGTTTTTGTAAGTCCTACTAGTCTGTGTAGCTCTGTTTCACATTATTATAATATCCACTCTTTTGTTATCACCCCTTTAGGCTTCCCTGTCCAATGAGCGTGACTACGAAAGCATTGTGATGATGAGGATGAGGCAGGCCGCCGAACGTCAGAAACTCATAGAACAAATGCAGAGGGAAGACGAGGAGGAAGCTGCCACGTCGTAGCACCACAGGACTCAGCTCGTTACCAGCACTGTGAGAAATATTAGATGTAATCCTGCATCAGGCTTTAGTTTCATAAAGCCTTCTATTTGTTTTTATTATTTTTTTGTATGTAATGTGATGTGTGGCAAAATAAACAATTTTCATAAACAAACAAAAAACAGTTTTTGTGTCATGGCCTTTCCTGAGAAGAGATGTGAGAACCAGCAGGGTTTGATGCCAGATAGTAGATACAAATTTGGAGATTTAAAATGATTTAGACTGGAATGCATCTTATGACTATGTTTCAAATATTGCGCTATGGTGTGTGCATTACGGGACTCTGGGGATTGATTACTGGTCTATTGGTCTAAGCATCACTAAGTACTAATACATTTCTAGGTAATTTTTTTGACAAAGTATTAAGAGAAAGTCTTTATTTATAGTGTTGTAAAATGTTATTATCCTTTTCTTTATCCAGGTGAGTCTCATTGAGATTTAAATCTCATTTCCTAGAGAGAGCAGGCCATCATGGCAACAAAAGTTACAACAAATACAACATAAGTTCAAAACAAATACAATATTTCGTAGAAACAAGTGAGCAAAAAATATGCAACAGCAGATCATAAAAACAGTCACACTAACTAAAAGAGTTTTTCTCTCTGTCCTCTCCCTCAGTTCCTTCTGTAGATCATTCCTGGAAACAGGGGCGGCATATTTAAAAGCTTTTTTCCCAGTTGTCTTCTGATTTTTGTTACAGTCATTTGTATGAGAGCGAGGCTATATTGGATGTGGCTTTTACACATATAAACACAAAGATAAGAGGGAACCAGCCCAAGGAGAGATTTATAGATAAAAACCAACCAATGAGAAAGTGGAGATCTACAGAGATGGTCAGGATTTCAAGAGCCAGTAATAAAACGTAAAACAATGGTAGACAGTATCTAAGCTTTTTAGATAGTGGACAGGTGCATTCATAAAAAGCAGGTCACCACAATCCAATAAAGGTTAAAAAAAAAAGTTGCATAAAACAAGTGTTTCATTTACTTGGAGAGAGAAATAAGATTGATTTTTTAAAAAGTAACGTAATTTCAACTTTGACACAAGCCTTTCAATGTGAGTTTAAAATGACAAATTCTGATCTATAATGATACTTAGATACTTATAAGATGTGACCATTTCTATTTAGGTCCATTAAATGGTTTTAATCTCAGGAAACGTTAATAACTAACATGAAGTTGGATTTCTCTGCATTTAAAATGAACTTAGGTTGAGTTAAAGGGAACTGAACAAAATCAAAGCCAAACTGCAGAAATTTGATAGAGATTAAGAATAGATAACTGTATCATCTGCAAAAAGATGAAATTGAATGTTTGATAAATTTTCAGAAAGGTTATTTATATAAAGAGAAAAGAGTAATGGCCCTAATATGGAGCCCTGAGGAACTCCTTTGGATACTGGGCAAAAAGAGGAAGAACACCGAGCAACGTGGACACATTGTGTTCTAGCTGACAAGTAATTTGAAGACCAACTTACAACATTTACAAACAGACCAATAATTTTTAGTCTGTTTACTAAAATGACTCGGTCAACTCTGTCGAAGGCCTTCGACAAGTCAAGAAAAAGAGCAGCGCAGTATTCTTTGCAGTCCATTGCATCATTAATGTCGTTCAACAGTTTAATAGCAGCGGTAATGGTACTGTATTGTTTTTTGAATCCTGACTGATGTTGGTAAAGAACCGAATTTTGTCCAAAAACAGTTTAACAGATCTGCGCTGATGTTCCCTATGAGAGGACTAGAAAATGAGGTTTATCTTGCTCTCCAGACTGCTGTTGTGCCTCACATGGACAGAGAGCCCAAAGAGATTGGCCTTGCTACACCACACATAATCAAAGTTCCATAATGATGTAATTTGCATCTGTCAACCATTGTCTGGTTCAGTGTGACTACTCACTGCCTCATTATTCAAGCCAAACAAGTGTGATGTAAAAAAAAAAAATCATTCGTGTCTGCACTCTCATTCAGAAGACCTGATCCAAACCACAGACTCTCTGGTGTAACTACATGGAAATCATTTTTTCGTCCATGCTAAACCAGTAATCAGGCTGCGATTGGAACACAAGGTAGGCTTTTATGGAATTCTTGTGGGCTTGTGTGATGAAAAGTGAACATACTAGAGGCCCTCCATTATAGAGTCGGTGGTTTAGATGATTTTTCCCATTTCTTTGTATTCACTAGAGAAATTGTCTACTCCTGGGTCTGATCTTTGGTGGGAGATGGGACACTGAACGTGTGCATTTTCTATGCAAATCCTTTATTTTATAAAACTCAAACAAATGGTAAAAAAATTACTTCTTCATGGATCTTCAAATCCAGTTTTTATTTTGAGACTGACGAGAGTGAGTAGCTTTGTGTAATTTACACGCCATAGCAGTTCCTTGCAAACACTTGCTTTGAACAGAAGGTGGTTGTGGCCCTCCGATGACCATGTTGGGGATGTCCTCTCCCTTTATCATCATGCAAACCCAAGAGTAAGAGAACCAGTGTTCAGAGCAATCTGAAGCTTGAGCTTTTGGGTTATAGAGATGGTGTGTACGTCAACTGACCTTCTTATTTTAAACATGAACATTCACCACAAAATGTATATACAGTACACTGTACAGCAGGGGTGTCAAACATATGGGCTGGGGGCTAGAATCTGATCAACGACGACTCAAATCTGGTCCATTTATATTTGCATGGCCTTTGAAAATGTAAAGGAGGGCATAAATGTTGGACTTTTAACTGTATTTCCTTAGTTTTTACAGCTTTTACTATATTCATACCAAAACAAAGTAACTATGTAATAAACAATTAAGTGACAGGAAAGTACTTTTTTCAGTTTCTACCATAGTTTCTTTTTCTTAAGTAAGAAAACAGATTTCCTTAATTACAGCAGCATTTATTTATCATGCAGAAAAATCAAAACTTGCAGTTTAAAATAAACATCTTTTTTAATACATTCAAATATCTCAGTTGTGATTTGGTTCTTGTCAGGGACCAAGCAGTAAGGCATAAAGGACACAGGTGTTTAATTTTTT